AACCATTTCATCTTGGAAAGGTTAACCTCGATGCTGATGGCAAGAGATTTCTCTTTCAACCGCTGGGTGTTCTGTTGGAGCCCCATCGTTTCTGGTGAGAAGGTGATGTAGTTGTACACGAGTAACAGGTTCATTGGTTGGTCTCCATCAATGTTAATATCTTGGTCCAGTTTAGCCAGCTGAAAAGTGACTCAAAAGAAGCAGCGATAACCTTTAATGAGATAGTATTCTCCTCGATGGATACTCGTTGGCTGAGAAACTTCATGTCAGTCGCGCAATTAGTTTTCAGTCCGTCGCTCAGGCTCATGTAATCAGTGTTTATTCCGTATCCATGCATGGTTTTTAACCTAGCCGTCAATTCGATCGAATCGAACGCCTTGTACTCTATGAACGCAAATCGAGGTGACACTAGATATTTGTTGCACTTCTCCGTCAACGGCTGGGTGACATTTGTATAGTCGTTGGTAGAAAATCCTGAACGAAAACCGGCCTGTTCCCGACATGTGACTAGTTGGAGGTCCTTCCAACTGTGTCTGACAATTATGCGAGTGAAGACTGTAAATTTGCGACAGGAGGTAATTGGATGATAGTCAGTGAGGTCACTAGAGTTGCCTTTTTTCATGAAAAAATCGTTCTGGGTGGCTTCTACATGTTGTCGTGTGCCTGCTACATTTCGTAAAATGTTTGGTAAGCGCTTTTGACAGATTGTTCGTCTTGCTTTAAGGTGTTCTGGCCCTCATATCGTCTGCCTGGAGACATTTGCCATTTTCAGTGTTTTTGATTGCCTTTTCAACTTCATTTTTCAGGTAATTTCGAAGATGGTTTCTGGAGCAGAATGTGGCAACTTCCGTTTCGCATCCATATCGGAAAAGCACAGACTGTTGCAGAATTTTGCGCAGACAACGTACATCCAATTATGATTAATAGCTTTTGCTCAGCCTTCGACTTTCAACACACTCCGAATCCTCTGTTTTACCGAATGTCTCGTTCCACAGCTTTCAGGAATCTCTTCCTGTTTGTAACATCTCTTAGTCGCTTTGTGCTGTAACCTTCGCAGTATTCCTTCAATTTCTTCTGTCTTTTTGCACAATGCAGTGTACACGTTGTTGAGTTGTTGATTTTCTTTTCGGCCTTCATTTGTGCTCTTCAAGCTATTAACTGCCTTGTTAAAGGGCTGATGCATTGGTTTCTCGTTGTCTTTGTTGTCAGGCTTGATGTACCAACGGCAGTTTCTGATGGTATTGACCAAATGGTCACAGTGCACATCGATACTCTCAGAGATGTTCATTTGAAGGTAAATAATGGCAGCTTCTCTGCGAAAGCTTTCGGATCGAATAGTCGTTCTCCACAAAGCGGTGATCGCTGGGCTGCTTTGATCCGTACCTCTTTTGAGACATCGATCGTAATCATGACACATAAAAGCCTGTGGTCTGACCCTACATCATCTGTACAGATGATGTTCTCTCCTGCGACCGACATGATACCATATGATCTTATTCGTTTCTTAACCTTCAGTGCATTGTCGATTTCGTTCAGAGATTTTCGGCCTGGGCCTTCCTAGGATAATCGTGCGCATTGTCTTTTCTATTGCGCCTTTCAGTTTCTCATAGAATTGCTCTGTCTCTTCATCTTCAGCTTGCTGGGTTGGGCTAAAAGCTTGGAGCATTTTTTTTCGTTTTTATCCACCTGTAGAAGTAGAATTGCTGTTTGAAGTGATATAATATCATAGCTCAGTACAAATTGCACGACCTTTCATTTTATTTTGAATCCAGCGCCGTCGGTCTGAGCTCGATTCTCGAGAGCCGCTCAGAGGACCACTTTGTCATCGTTGTTCCATTGCGCAACATGTTTGGGAGATCTTCGGATCTCGTGTATTCCAGTGACGTAAGACTTGATCTTCTTCGTTTCTTTGATATGTACGTCAGTAAATGCATCTGTCGATAGCGTTTTTGTAGTATGACTGATCCCGAAGTTCTTGATGACGTTCCGGGTGCGTTTACTAATCTCGTACTTTGGTTTACCGAGTGGAGGATGTTGTTCATTCCTATTTTCCCGGTTTTCTGTTTCATGTGAGCATTGTTTGGGAATAATCGTTTTGGCAGCTCACTCAGGATGTCAGTCCTCATGAAGTATGGCTGACCTCTTAGCAACCTTCGCCCAGCCCAACGAATCCTAATTGGCCGGTGGGGGG